TAGAAACGTTTCGTCTCTCGTCCAAGAGACTTCTTCAGTCTGAGGTGCTGTTTTCAGCTCAGTCTCTTAAATAGCACCTTCTCAGAGTGGATCAACCAAACAGGACTCCAGTCAGCCAACAGGTGAAAAGGAGGAACCCAGACCCAGACCAGTGGTCATTCCATATGTTGAGGGAGTATCAGAGAAACTGAGACGTTTATTTTCTAAACATAACGTCCCAGTGGCTTTTAAACCCCAAAATACATTACGGCAAAGACTGGTTCATCCCAAAGATCCAGTCCCCCGGCACAAACAGAGTAATGTTGTGTATGCTGTTCAGTGTCAGGAGGGCTGTGATCAGTCTTACATCGGGGAAACAAAACAGCCACTGGCCAAAAGGATGGCCCAGCACAGAAGATCAACATCATCAGGCCAGGACTCTGCGGTCTACACTCATCTCCAGGCCAGCGGTCACTCTTTCAGGGATGAAGATGTGCACATCCTGGATAGAGAGGAACGATGGTTTGAGAGAGGAGTAAAGGAGGCCATCTTTGTGAAAAGAAACCGTCCATCATTAAACAGGGGTGGAGGCCTCCGGGTTCAACTGTCCCCCTCTTACAATGCTGTGATTGCTAGTATCACTCAGCCCTCTGTGAGTAGTAAACAGCCATCAGTGTGCTAATGATCCATTGTTAGGCTGATGGTCCTTCTTGAGCATGTGATCAGTTGGTTTTGGTTGTCAGCAGCAAAACTGGTTGATCCACTCTGAGAAGGTGCTATTTAAGAGACTGAGCTGAAAACAGCACCTCAGACTGAAGAAGTCTCTCGGACGAGAGACGAAACGTTTCTACATTTTTTGTTGTTTTGCTTTGTTTTGGTTTTTTTTTTAATGTCCAGAGGACCAGATTTAACTTTTTTAGATTTTTCTACCTGGATTATTGAGCATGCATCAGGATATTTTATTTATACAAGTTAGTCTCACTGAGTCACGAGGACTCGTTTTCAAGAGAGACCTGCTTATAAGGAGCTCATAGCTGCAGACTGGCCAGACATTACATGAGAAGTTGACAAAAGTCTTTAAAACTACTCACCCCTACTTTAAATCCCATGCATCAATGGGCTCATTTTATGTTTGGTCAAACCATAGAATACACATATGAACAGTTGTATTCTCTGAAATTAAATTTTTGTAAAATAATTTTCTTCAGCAAGGCATAACTATTGTCACTCTTTACTAAAATCTACAATATTTACTTTCCTTTGACTCATCAGCTTATTAAATATTTTAATAAGAATTTAATGACCCTCGATTTAAAGTTTTACAACATATTTTATGTTAGTGAATTTTTGCACATTTTCAAAAAAAAAAAAAACTTTAAGGAAACACACCTTTCTATTTCACAAAATATTGGGTTTTGAGCACATCAGCTCAAATTAACAGCCAGGATTTGTCTTCGGTGCTTTCTACTGACAAACAGCTTTTGCCAGAAGGTTTTCCAGAAAGAAATGTGAGAAAAGCAAAGAGAGATATGATGGAGATGTGAAAGGTTACAGATGTTTTTCATCTACTAAAGTCAAATGTTATATAACTCATATTACCATGTGTTTGTGTTAAGGGTTGTTATGACTGGACTGAGTGCTGCATAAACATGGAACCTTTCACCCAAATAAGCAAGGATGCTGCAAGAGTCGTCTGACCTTGCCTTTGTCTGATAAAATTACAAAAAGACATTTCTTCATGCTCTCTTTGAGCAGACTTGAAGACGAAGTGCCATGTAAAGATCTTGCCTGCTTGTATTTCAGTGCTGCTCCATCTTGCAAGATTAAACCTGGGATTAAGAAAATTATCTACCTCTCCCGTGTGGCTTTTTTATTTAAAGAACTATTGAAAGAATAATATTAAATTATCCTAACAAGATAGTCTACACAGTAACAACCCCCTCCAGTCATAAGGATGTTGTAGCTGAAAGGATATTTGTTAGTTGGAGCACACTGGACCTGTCCCTACAGTTTGTCATAACTTTTTGGTTTTGTTTACTTTATGTGCTCGCAATTATTTGAGCAAATTTTAAAACGTTTCACATTGATCTGTCTAGAACATAAAAGAATCATATTTGATTTAATGACTTTGAAAGAAATATACTAACTACTAACTCAAATGTGTTCACAGTGGGGACCTAAACCAAAACTTTGAAGCTTCTGGAGCAGCCCTTTTGATAATTGGTAATCTGATGGTCCATTGACAGATTTGACATCTATATTTTGTCTGAGTTGGTTGGAACCTGCTGAATTTCATAAATAATGAATAATTAAATCAAAGAGGCAGTTCATTCAGCATTTAATAATCCCATGAATTGTTGATATTTTTTAATCAACACAGTTTTATTTATTACATTTGATATTCCAAAGTCCAATTACTGCATGTTCAGAACGAATCCACTGCTGTTGATGGATTTCAAAGAGCATTTGATATGACAATCACAGTGCAAAGAGATTTTAGGCATCAGTCAGCAACATTTTAACAGTCTTAAATGGATAAAATTGATACATTGAAGGATTATCCCTTTGGCCTTGCAGCTGAGATAAACCTAACAGTGTAAAACATGCTTCAATGCACTGTAGCGTTCAGATTTCACACATTACTTTTCAAAATACTTTGACACAATAATGGACGTTGTGTTGAAAACGGTAACCATGCATTTACTGAAAAAAATCCTACCTAAGACGCTCTTTAGGATATTGGTTAATGAAAATCAAAGCATCATTGAATAAATATGAAAAACTCAAACAGAGCAAAACAACAAGCTACATGTATTTCTTAAAATTATCAAACAAATGCAGTTTCTTTACAAACAAAAATGCACATGCCTTGATGTTAATGTACACGAGTGGCATTTTAAATACTTCAAAGTCCAATACTCTATGCAGTGCAACAATATTTCATAAAATAATTTTGCAAAACCAAAACAACAACAACAACAACCAATAAAAAAAAACATACAAAAAAAAAGGATTACAATTTTAAAATGAACATCATGCATTTTAATAATCATTACAAATAAAAGTAATATTAATTTAAAATATCCAAATGAAGACACCAAAGAACTACAATAAATATTATACTGCAAAACTTAGCTACAGAAATATGGAATATTTATCAGGACAAGTTAAACTCATTGATCAGATGTGCTTCTAAAACTCCTCACAAATTGTATAACACAATCCTAAAAATATAAATCAAGACTGTGGTCTACTGAGTGCTCATTTCAATGTCAAATTAAAAATGTACAATATTAATAGATTGTAACATCATGCTCAAACAGTGACATGAAAGAATTTATTTATTATAAGAATATATTTAATTATTATTTAATATAAGAATTTAGTTTATGAAAGAACTATAAGTAAAGAAAGTAGCTAGCAAAGTAGCATTGCTAATTAGCTTAAATGTTTAATGTTGTCTCTTATCCATCCATCCATCCATCCATCCATCCATCCATCCATCCATCCATCCATCCATCCATCCATCCATCCATCCATCCATCCATCCATCCATCCATCCATCTATCCATCCTCTTTTCCCTTCCAGGTCGCCACATGGAGAACAATAGAGCTGTCATTTCTAACCTGAACCCGGAGCGGGGCCCCGCCCGACCCGGATTAGGGCCAGGCCATAATAATGTGCTTAATGTGCAGGCCGGGTTGGTGTCGGGCTTTTGATTGCATCAGCGGATGCGTGTAGCTGACGATCCAATTGTATAGCAACATGGCTTGCCATACAATCACCAGCTGCATGTGGCCATTTGACTGTGCGCTGAGCATCCTTGTAAGAGACACAAAGTTCAGTTAAGCTTCAGATGAACTACTGCCAGCGATCCATTAACCCAAATGGGCGTTCATTCAGCCACTTCACTCAGCGGACACGCACAGCAGACGACCCAAACAGGTGAGATCACAAAATAGCCAACATGTCAGAGCAGGGTCCATGTCTGAATAATGCAGAATGCAGGCAGAAGCACGGATTTAATGCTTTTGACGGCCATGAAAGGAAAAACACCCCCTCAGCTCCGATCTTCTGCCCCCTTTACTCAGCCGCACGTCTGCCGACCATTAATAACTATATAAACAGTCAAAACTTAATATATATATTTTTTGGGTTCTGACCTGTAATTACAGTTAATGCGTCAGGTCAGGTGGGGTACGGAAATGATGGCTACGGGCTGGGGCCGGGTCTGGTCGGATTTTTTGGACCCAAATGCAACTCTAAGACAAGCAACCAATCATATTCTCACTTACAGCCCGGGACACGTTATCTAACACTTAATGAACATAACACACGTTTTTGTTCTGTGGGAGGAAACCGGAGTATTCAGTGAAAAGCAGAAGAGCGTGCACTTAGCGACAGGCCGGGCGGCAAACCTGTGACTGTCTTGCTGACAGGCAACAACTTTAACCACTTCACCACCATGCCACCTTCCATCTAAATATAAGCACTGGCATAACTAAAATTCAATGTTCATAACTAGGGTTTCAGTGATGTAGATTCTTATACAAATATAGTTTTTTCCGCATTTTTAAGATTTTGACATTTTGAACAACAGCAAATCTACATTAGCCTAGCTATCTAGCCTAGCTAACTTTCCAGATAAGTGGGAATCGATGTGACTTTTCTGAGTATTTTCTTCAGGTTTTCCTCAACTCTGAACAGATAATGTAATAGAACACATAACGTGCCTTTGCAGCGGGTGTCTTTGATTAATTTAGCATTGTTTTATTTTAAATTGAACTTGCCCTTGGATGTAAAAAACAAAACATTTAACTCACTGAGATTTACCAAACCACTGAAATACCCTTGCACATTCTATTCATATAATTTCATTTGATTTATTCCTTGTATATCTGAGTGAATGCTAAATATACATACATTTTCATTCAATTACATTTCTGAAGTCATTTTGAAATGTGCTTTAAACATTTGTTGTGTGTAAATTTGAAGGTGATATTTAATAAATTTTAACTTGTCACATCTCATTAATAAAAATCATGGGCCCTTGAGAGGCGATGCTGTTCTCTCTTTCAAAAGTTACGTTTTTGCCAAGATATGTCTCCGGTAAGCTGAAGCTTACTTGTGACTGGTTAATGCTAGCTTGTCTCTCGACCTGCTTATTAAAGTCCCCCTTGGACAAAATAAAACTATCTTGTCTGTAGAGACCAAAACTGTCATCAGGCTGGTCAAAGCTGCTTTCACTGTAGAGTCGCTCTCGCATTTCACTCGAACGTTTCCCTGAAGCGCTTCTGGTCGGGTACCTCTGACCAGTCTTGTACCAGCCCGTCTCTTTGAAGACAAACCAGATATTCCCAGACCAGAGGACAACATTTACAAACCCCAAAACCTGCCAGAATAAAGATGGGTCATGAGAATGGATTGTTTTATGTAGACTGTGTCATTTCTTGACTGAATACCTACAGTAGATGTATTAAGTCGTGACCAGTGAGGCTCCTGCATAGCTGTACATCTGTTTTCCTGAGCTCTACAGGCAGAGATGAGAAGAAGGACCTCGGTAGGGTTTGTGGCACTTTTAAGATCGGTGAGACTTTTTGCCCAGCAACAACTGCTGACCAGCCACATGAGGGAAAAGATGACAGTGACAGCAAAATCCTGCTCAGGACAGAAAAAATATATACAAAAACAGAAGCATACCAATAAATAAAACATTTTTCTTTTCATAAAACAATATGATACCACACTGTCTTAATTACAGGATAGGTGAATGGTAAAAATGTAACCTCACGAACCACAAGTGGGCCTCTGTTGTTCTTTAGATACTTGTTCTGGTAGAAGACATAGACGATTGTTGCCAAGAGTGAGTAAAGAAATGCAAAGACACCCACAGTCACAAAAAACTGAGCAGCTGAAGAGAAGTCCCCATCAAGGAAAAGGACCTCCTCTCTCTCCACATCACACAAGGGAGCTCTGAAGTGCACTTGTTGCAATCTATAGGACAGAAAGGGAAAGATTACTGGGAAGAGAGATTGCCCTTTCTGGAGGAAAATTCACTTTACCTAACTACAGCTGTGTGTATGTATATATATATATATATATATATATATATATATGTATATATATATATATATATATATATATATATATCGTATTCGCATCGCATCGTATTCTGTTAACTGATGACGTGAACTCCGCTTGGAACTATTTTCATAATAGTTTCATTTATTTTCTGAACAAACATGCTCCTTTTCGTCAGTTAAGAATAAAGGGACGAGACAGCCCCTGGTTTACTCCAGAGCTAGCTGATCTCCTGCACAGGAGAGATCATCTTTGGGCTGCAGCGAGAAAATCTGACTCAGACACTGATTGGTTGAGTTTTCGACAGATGAGGAATAAATGCACAACTGCTGTCAAAGCAGCAAAACGCAACTATTTCTTATCTCAGACCTCCAAAAATCTAAATGACCCCAACAGATTCTGGAAAACCATCAAATCTCTCTCAGGCACCCCCCAATCATCTGACCTCCCATCACAACTTCTCGTTAACTCTGTTCCTGTGTCAAATAAGCACGAGATCCTGAACTGTTTCAACAAATATTTTGTTGCTTCTAGTTCTTTATTTGACACAGTTACTAACAGAAGATCAGCCACTTCCCCTAATAACAAAACTTTTACAAATCAAATCCCTCCTACAAGTCAATCCTCAGTTAATCACAGCTTCTCTTTTTCTCCATTCTCAGTCAGTGAGGTCAATAAACTGTTAATAGATCTTGACCCTAAAAAAATCTGCAGGTCCAGATGAACTTCCACCTTATTTCTTAAGGCTGGCTGCTCATATCATCACAGTCCCTGTGACCCACATCTTTAATCTCTCCATAAGACTAAACTCCATCCCAGACACTTGGAAAACAGCCTTTGTTCTTCCTTTGCTGAAGGGAGGTGACCCCACCTCATTGAACAACTATCGACCAATCTCTAAACTCTGCATTTTAGCCAAGGTTCTAGAAAAACTGATAAAATCTCAAATCAAAAATTACCTGGACTCATTTAACATCTTACCTCCCATCAATCTGGTTTCAGGAAACAACACAGCACAACCACTGCTTCACTGAAGGTTCTTAATGATGTTGTTGAAGCACTGGATGCTAAGGATTATTGTGCTGCACTTTTCTTAGACCTGTCTAAAGCTTTTGACACTGTGGATCAGAACATCTTGTGTCATAAACTCTCAGAAATTGGTTTCTCAGATCACACCATTGGTTGGTTCTCTAACTATCTTTCAGACCGGAGGCAATGTGTTCAACATAATGGTACTTCCTCCAGTTATTTAACAGTCAACAATGGTGTACCACAAAGGCTCAGTCTTAGGACCCACCCTCTTTACAATCTACATACATAATGTAGGTAAAAACATCCCTAATGCATCCATACATTTCTATGCTGATGACACAGTTGTTTATCGTCGAGCTAAAACTGTTGCTAAGGCTTTCCAGCTTTTGAAATCTGCATTCAACATCATCCAGACTGATTTGTTCCGCCTCAAACTTGTCCTAAATGCCGACAAAACCAAAGGGATGCTTTTTTCAAATAGGAAGTTGGTCCCAGCAGTTCTTCCTCCGATTTTATCCTCAAATGGTGTCCCCATTGAGTTTGTTGATTCCTATAAATATTTGGGTATCTTGGTCGACTCACATCTCTCTTTTAAGCTCCATGTGGAAAACTTGATAAAGAAACTGAAAGTTAAACTGGGTTTCTTTTTCAGAAACAGATCCTGTCTAACCCTGAATGCTAGAAAACGCCATGTATCTGTGACTTTCCTTCCCTCAATTGATTATGGTGACATTATTTACATGAACGCTCCTACAAGAACCCTGCAGATGTTGGATGTTGTCTATCATGGTGCACTAAGATTCATAACTGGCTGTGATTATCATACCCACCACTGCACCCTGTATTCACTGGTTAACTGGACATCATTAACTTCATGCAGGCTCTCTCACTGGTATATTTTCATCTTTAAATCACTTCTTGGTCTGTTGCCTTCATACATCTCCTCCTACATGTCTCTGCGTGAGTGCAGCTACGGCCTGTACTCTCATGACATTATTATCTGCAGTGTTCCCTCAATGAGGACTGAACTAGGCAAAAGGGCCTTCTCCTACTCCACTCCTGTTTCCTGGAATATCTTACAAAAGATTTGAAGCTCTCGACCTTGACCTCTCTAAGTGGCTTTAAGAATCTGTTGGACTCCTGGCAGGGACCAATGCAGACATGTTCCTGTTTTTAGTTTTCTACATTTGTCTTGGAATCTAGCTGGTTTTTTTTTTGTTTGTTTGTTTTGTTTAGTTACCTTTTCCTTTTAGCCATCCTATTTGTTAAAAAAACAAACAAACAAAAAAAAAAACCCTGCAGTATGACTTTTTATAATTGTTTATTGTTGTTGCTGTTGTCCATTGCTGTCATCTTTCTTTGTTGGAATCAGGTCTCTCTTGTAAATGAGTCCTCGAGGCTCAATGGGATTTACCTGTATAAATAAAGGTTGATTGATTGATATATATATATATATATATATATATATATATATATATATATATATA